AGGGAACTTGGAGAACCTGGAAACAAATGTGACTTCGAGCAAAGAAGCTTATAGGAAAGACCCAATAGCTATCTTTAAATATTTGAAGTTCTCATACAGAAAAGTCATTAGGCTTAGTTCTGTGACCTTGGGCTGGGGTTGGGGGATGTGATGGTGGCAGATTTTAAGTTAAGGAATCACTTTTAGCTCATAATAAAGAATTTCTAACAGAATAGTTCAAAGATGAAATTGGCTAAGGTAGGGATGTAGTGAATGAGTTTCTAAACTAGAAAGCTACAGTTTTTAGAGTATCTAAGATAGAAAACCACTTGGAGAGGAGAGTCAGTCATTAAATGGTTAATTGACCTCAAAGACCTCTGGAGTCTCACCTAAGCCTGAAATTCCGTGATTCTTCCGGCACATAAAGATGAAGTCCAGGATTAGATGGTGGCATAGTAAGAGGTGGAGAGGATGGGGACTCTTCAGAGGAAATTAAAAAGGATCATTGGAATCCTTTTCATACACCTATGTTCGGGTTTGTAATTCATGGAGATTTATTCTCAGTTTACTTCGCAACTTCTTTGATCCAACTGCAACTTCAGCCACTTTGTTTTTCCAGTTTCCTTTACAAACCAAGTTTAGAAATTTATGATTGCCAGTGGCCAGTGCTTTGGATTAAGACTTCTGGTGGATGTGGAAAGAAACTACATTCATGTGCGTGTGCGTGTGTGTGTGTGTGTGTGTGTGTGTGTTGGGTGGAGGGTGGTTGGAGACAGTCACGTGTTTTGGAGGGTGTTGGAAATATCCTCTGGAGGATGGAGGAAATATCAGTATCAATAAATGGGTGAAGGATGTATGCGGGGCCATGACTAGGAATGTACTGCTCATGTTCTCACTAGATCATACTTTTGATCATATTCTTCACCAGCTCTTATAGTGTGCTAGAGACATTTTGTTTAAAAGAAGTCTTAGCTTTTGTATATATTTTAAAAACCTCTATCTCCAGTCACTCTTCTCTTCCAAATTTTACATTTATCCCATTGCCGTCTGGGCACATCTTATATTTTATAACACAACTTTAATTTATGTTGGACTTCACAGCCTAAAAAAACTGAAATGTTTTCTATTTGAGTCATGGTAACCTAATTCGGCTATTATTTTCTCTATTAAGTAAATAATAAAATTGAGATACAGAGATGTTAAGTGACTTGACCAAGGTAATAAATAAGGCTGAGAGATGATTCCAGATTTTTGGTGTCAAGTCCTACTCTCATTTAGTCTCAAATGGTTTTAAAACTATGTTCTGTTATCTCTAAGGATCCTGAAATGTTCTATTCATGTAAAAATACTTAACTTACAAATTATATTGAGAGAGTACACTCTTTCAAATGCATTGTTATTTAAATTACTTCATAATCCACCACCATGCTTCCAAATCAACCTGTTTCTTAGGGAGCCCTAGAAAAAATTACCCTGCTTCTTTCATTTTTCTCTGTATGTTTGGGATGCTTATAAATGTGTGATAAGGAAGGATGTAATTCTGCATTGGCTTTCAAAATATTTGGGCTTGTGCATGTCTGTTCACAGTACATGACACAAGTGAGGATACCATGGTAGGGAGTTGCAGTCCTTGGTGTTGGCCAGGCAGAGTGTAGGTGCCTGCTATACTGCTGAGATGGGGACAAGAGAGCCATTAATGCATCATGTGGTGGTAATACCATGATATGCTTAGTTCTAGCAGTTTTAGGTATCAGCAACTCTTTGTCTGATTTTTGTATTTATGATAAATATTTTCAGTGATTTTTCTTCAAAATAAAAAATTCCAACTATTTGTCTTTCAATTCCTGCAGCAGTTTAATTTGGGAGTGTGTTTAAATTGCCAAGACGACTATTAAAACAAACTCTTCTCTCTGTGTATCAGATTTTTCTTTATATTGAGCAAGCAAAATAAAATCCAAAAATAAATTGGATATTGAGATTACATCAGAAGAAAGATGTATTTTTCAATGTTAATTGTACCTTAGTCAATGAGAAAATGCATTGTTTCTCATTGTCTGGTAATACCACTTTCAATGTGTTTTATATATTAGGTTCCTAATAGGGTTCAGATTTCATTTGAAAAAAGGACAATGCTGCTAAATTATGTTGGAGAACTGCTGTGCCTTACTATGTTGTCCTGTCACTGTTGGGCTTTTGATTTTCAGATTTCTCAAAATTTTTGTAATTAGTTTGATGATTAATGAATTTGGTTTGACTTTGATATAAAAAAAAAGTATATCTAGGAGGTCCAGCAACCTTGAAGTACTGAAAATTTTTAGAAGGAACAACCAACATTTTCTTGTGAAATTCTTTAAACTGTGCTACCTCTGAGTTATTTCCAAGTACAGGCTTAGTAAAAGAAAACCTATTTCCTTTTGCCTTGGTACTTTTGAATAATGAGCAGGGTTTGGAGGTTTTAAAGTCCTAGGAAACAGACTGGAAACTGGTCTCTTCAGTTAAAGATATTCTTTATAAATACCTTTAAACTTTAAGTGAAAATATTTATAAAATTCCTTGTTTATTTTGGGGAAATTGGTTAAAAACCATAAAACATGGTTTGTTCATTATAGTTTTGTCAAGGAACAATTAATGCCAAGTTAATACTTGGTATGCAGAAATGAAGAAGATACAGTCTTTGCCTTTGAATTTAAGAACCAGATAAAGAAATAGGTGAGCTGAAAATTACAGTATAAGTTGGTAAATGCTGTACTAGAGGGACAGAGTACCATCTTTGCAGGCAGTGAGGAGTGGGGAGTTGGGAAGAGAGGTAATATTTGAGGGATGCCCTGGAAGCTAGTAGGTATTTGCCAGGGTGGTAAGGAAGCACATGCATTTAAGGAAACAACATGAACAGAATTTGAGGGGGATCTGTGAGTATAGTTCACTATGACTAGAAGTACAATGTGTGGCAGGGAGAGGGTGTGAGGAAAAAGGATTTTGTTAGCTTGGTGAAAGAGCAGCTAATGGAGAGATTAGTTGGTTTGCACTGTGAAGGGTCAGCTGTGCTCTGTTGCAAAAGTTTAGACTTCTCTGTAGGCTGTGGAGGTCTGCAGCCAGGAAAGACTTACATTTTGAAAGTCTTGTTTATTTATAAAGAAATTTATTAAATATCTTTAACTATATGAAGGAAATGCTGAAGGATGAATTGGAAAAGAGAAAAATTGATTTGATTCATTTATTCAATAAACATTTGTTTACTGCTCACCTACTTACGTGAAAGTAACTGTTCTAGGCACTCTCTTGGGATACAACAGGGAACAAAAAGACAAAGATACTTGCTTTATTGGAGCTTCCCACTTCTGGTGTAAGGCAATAGATAATGTACTAATAAACATAGTTAGTAAATTAATCATGCAGTACATCAGGAAGTAATAAATGCTGAGAAAGAAGAAAAAGTCAAATAAGGGGAGGTGTGAGAATACCAGGTGAGGAATATTTATAATTTAAATAAGGTGGCAGGATGTCCTGAAGCTCTTGCAAAATTGTAATATTCAAATTATATTGTATCTGTTTTAGTTATTAGCTAGAATACCTTTATAAAGACATTTTCCCTTATCTATTATTTAGTTATCCAGGAATTCTATAGGAAAGGCAGGACAGTTGTCTTTTCCCTTACTTTCCAATTTTCCAGGTAGCAAGTTGGTTCTCTGTCATCTCCAATTTTTATTACTATGTCAGTATTTTCTCCTCAGTGTGGCCTTGTCTGGAAAGGGAGTTCTGGTTGGTCAGTTTCAAGAAATAGTAGGTGTTAGGCTGCTCCATTCTCTGAAGACCTTATTTGCTATATTGGATTAGGCAAAACCTCTCCCATTTTCAACTCCTGTTCTAAAATTAGCTTATTATATGTTCCAGTGAAAAAAGTGTTGGCTATTTTGGGGTTCTCCTGTTTTCACATACATCAGATACCCGCCTGCTTCCCTCTGCTCTTTCCTGCATGAATGCTAATACCATACAGGTCCTGTGTCTGTTGGTTTGTCCGCTACTTCTTGTATTTTAGATTTGTGGTGGATATTTGATCACAAGTTTTGTTAATGTTTTCCATGGGGTTTTGGTTTTGCTGTCTAGTTATCTCGTCTGTTTTTATGTGGCAATTAGGGAGTTTAAGGAAAACAACAGCTCACTACCTTCAATGCCACTTCCCAGAAGGGAGTTGAATCCTGGAAGGTAGAGTGGAATTGAGAATAACTCAGTTTCTGACGTACAAGATCTGGTAGATGGTAATTTCATGGAAGGACTAAAACAAAAGCGAAGTAACAACATAGTGAGTAGAACATAATCAATTTTTGTTTTTTTCAGGTTTGAAATGCTTATGAGATACCCTAATAGAGATGTTCTCAAAAATAAGATTTTTGAATTTGATAGAGCTATGTGATGAAAGAGCAACACTTTGAAACTGAAGTCATTATAAGTTGCAGAAATTACTATTTCTGGTAAAAATTACAGCTTGAAAAACTGTACGCTCGAAACATGCACTTGAAGGTGAAAGAGACTCTAATAAGCATTTGTGAACTAGTAGTTTCATGTATTTTCCATAAATATGCACAACATATGCGGGTTGATAGTGAGCAACAATCCAAAGAGGAAGATGCTCTTCAAAGATGCGTTCATATGGATGCAGATGGGCTTTTGGTCATTAGGTATACATGCCATGTATGTTGGGTATAATGTTAAGGTAATGAACTTATAAAATCTAAGTGTTTTTAATATCTAGAAAAATAGATATTAAGTATTTATAAGCAGCAAGTTTTATATTTTGAGTTGACTTCAGTGTACTATCACTATTTTAAGAGTAGGTGAAAAAATGTTCTCTCTTATGGGCTATTCCAGATAATTCTAAGGTGCTCTGACTCCAAAAGGGGATTTTTAAAATAGTAAACACATTTGGATGCTCCTTTTTAAAATTTTCATTTAAATATTAACCCAAATGGCTTACCTGTGACCTCTTTCTTTTCCTTTCTTCTTTTTCTTCTTTCTAATACTAGGCCAGTCTTCAGAGACCTGAGATTAAACTTGAATCATTAAAAGAAGATATTAAGGAATTCTTTAAAACATCAGGTTAGTAAGTTGCTTTTTTCCCCTAACTCTTCTTGCAAAATAAGGAAATACTTTATTTGGAGGGTATATTTTATCTCCAGTCTTCCAATTACTCATTCAAAATTGTGAAATAGTAGCTGGATATGTTTCTATTTGGAGAGGATTAGAAGTTTCAGACATGTTGATAAAATGCTTAAAAAATTCAGGAACACTGTGGGAATGACTGCTTTACATTAGTCAGTTTTGAATTCTCTTTGCCTACCTGGTCAAAGTGCATCCTGAATGTATGAAGAATCACCTTAGTTAAGCAACTCATCTTTTACTTTTCATATGTTGCTTTTTTCCTTCTACACCCTCATTTTCCTCTTTTCTACCCTTTCAAAAAAACAAAAGAAAATCCAAATTATAATTCTTTTTAGAGCAAGAAGAGAGGTTCCCTATTCCAACCTTTGCACATGGAAATTGAGATGTTAAAGGGTTTACTTACCAGAAAAGTTGAAGTAGTTAGTAATCAGGCTGACTGCTCTGACTGGTGGTGCCTTATAATAATCTGCTCTGTCATTCACGAGTTTACTTACTCGTTAAATGTAACGTACTGCTTATGCTCTGTCTTTGACAAGTGCCCAGCTGTTTCTTGCCCCTGCCTTGGCACATTCCTCACAGCACCAATAGTACTGTGGCCAAAGACTTTGGCCTTCGTGATGCACCTTAACTGGTGGAAAAAGGAAATGTCTCTCCCATCTTGAGAAAGTGGTGTAATAGTTTTATTTTAAAAATGGTACCATGTTGATAACTTTGCTACTCAGTGTTTGCCAAGGGATGTAATGAATGTATAGGAAATAATTCCTTAATAACATTTAACACAGCATTTGGCAGCTGATAAAGTTCTTTCACAAATTAATATGATGCTATAGTTTGAGATAAATTTAATTCTAATGTATGCTTATTTTAAAACTAATATGTCTATATACTATATTCTTCTTTTTAAAAAAAACAGGTTGGGAGAAGAAACTTCAGAATGCTGTTTATTGTGAACTGAGTGTGTGAGTTTTTCCTACCTATTCTGAGATAATGTTATGTTTAGCTATATTTATTTTGTAAGTAATAAATATAATATTGCTACGTATACTTATTGTATTATTACCCATTATTATTTATATAGTATTTCAAGTAATTTAATACTTTAAAAAATTGCACTTGTGCCTAATACTTAATAATGAATAGGAGGGGTTTTTTTATGCTATGAAAAATTTTATATTAGTAGTTCATTTATTCAGTGTAATTAGAGAGTAAGATATTTCTCATAAGTTATTATTTCAGATGACTGAAGATTACCAACATTCTTTTTATTATTGACATTTTGGATATTACCTTTTCCTGTTTTTATAAACCAACCATTAGAAGCATAATTAACTTTTTTTTTGCAAAATTGGTGTCATTATTAAGAACATTAGTGTTTTTATCTGCACTTGCCCAGTATGTATAGAGATACCACAGGTTGCTTAAACTAATATGAACCTAGTGATTTATCTTTCTGACTATTACATAGGAAGCTTGAAACTTCACTGTCTTTGTCTCTGATACTGATGGAGTAAAAGCATCTGTTGTGTGTAATTCCAGTAGATTCTCATTCCAGTAGATTTTCATCTGTGAAGATATTACTGGTGATGGCAATTTTTGGGGTCTAATGTATTCCTGAAAATTGTTCCATGAGTCAGACTGACCTTTTACTCGATGGCAGAGACAGTGTTTCATTCATTGTCGTATCTTCAATATCCTACACAATAGATGTTAAATAAATGTTTTTGAATAATGTGTTGGGATTTTTGAAGGAGTCCAATAATACCTTTTTTCCTTACTTGGGTTCTGAACAAACTGAGAAACAAGATAAAACATAAAGGTAAAAGGAGGATAAAAGTTATACTTTTATTTGTGATAAAAAATAGCAAGAGCAAAGAGTCCTTTCACTGAACTCCAGAATTAAATTAACTAAACTTCCAGTTAAATAGTGTTTGTTCAGTTTATCCTTCTAAAATATGGAAGTTGAATAAGGCATTAAACCTATTCTGTGGTGTAGTGAGAGAGGCCAAGAATGTTACAGTAATTGAACTCTTTTCACATGGAAGGACACATGCAGAGTGGGGAAGAAGTATTTCCTCTAACATAAATCAGAAGAGGAAAGACATATTTTGTTGCATTTTCCATTGGCAAAAACTGTGAGATGGATGGGTAAAGGAAGCAAAAAGTAAAGTAGACATATTTATTAGGTTAAATAATTGGAGCTGGAAAAATTTACTCTCATGCCTAATAGAGGTGTGGACACATGTATAGGGCACATCTATTCAGATGATACATGGAAATCTCTCACTTCATTTTATTTATATTAGTAAACATTCCAAAGATTTTTGTCAGATTCTTATTTAACAAATAGAGCAGAAAAATTTCTGTATTCTGTTACTTATGTGAAACTTGTAACTTTAGCCCAGGTCAGCTCTTCCCACTTAAGATTTCCTACTTTAATTATTGTTGTGTTAGTAACTGTTTAATATAATATTAATGGTGATTTACATTGAATATGCACTGTGCTAAGTACTTTATATGCACTACCTTATGTAATTAATCTTCATAACAATCCTATGATATAGAATTTATTATTATCACCATTTTACAGAAGAGAAAACTGAGGCTTAGACCACTTAAGTGAAGATCATATAGCTAGTAAATGCTTGGTCTTGACTTCCAAAGCACTAATTCCAAATTATGTGCATTTTATTATATCTCACATATGTTTATATCTTATCTCTTGCCTAGATTAAAAGTGTTACAAAACAAAGAATATGTCTTATGTTTCTCTTAGTATCTCCTATAACATAAAATAAATGACATTGAGTCAGCAAATAGTTATTGAGCTATGTACCAATGTGAATATACAATAAATACTTTTTGAATTGAGGAAACTCATATTATTAATTCTAAACTTACAATAAAGATTTAACTAAGACAGTCTGTAATTAGAAATGCACTGATTTCTTTCTGTGTCTTAGTTTTCATTGTACTTTGTGTAGAGCAGTTTATAAAGAATTAGGTGATTTATTTTCCCTTAAGAAACATAAATTAAATCTTTAAAAAACCTTTCTATAAATGTATATATTATAAAACATATACCATACTGTAGTGTTATAGTGGGTATATGCAAATGTGCACCATACATTGGAGAGGTATGAGTTTTGAACAGACAAAAATGTATTTTATTCATTCAACAATGGGTCTAGTTGGTACCAAGTGTTTTATGCTAGACACTGGGAATACATAACTATTGAATAAGGAAGATGTTGCTCCTGGCTAATAGCCAGGCAAATTGGCAAACAAGTTGAAAATAGTGTGGAAGCAGGGGACACTGCTTAGAGATGTATTTAAGGGGATTTAAGGAGTAGGAAGAGGCAGGAGTCAAGAATGATGCACCGGTTTCTGTGCATTATTCCTTTCTGACAGCCTTTATCTCTTCATATTACTAAATATGAGCTCTGTGAAGACAGAGAATTTAGCCTGTTTTGTTCACTGCCATATCTGTATTACCTTGAACATTTAGTGGTTCTCATTAAATATTTCTGAATAAATGAATATCTAACTTCATTTGGTTTCCTATTAATCATTTTTGGGTTGTCAGTTCTTGTTATCTGTTTTTATGGATATGTTTCTTTGAGTATTAAATAACAAGTTCAATATTAAATTTCTAAGTTGCATTCTATTTAGAAATAATTACCGTTAAAATTGAAGGATTTTAGAGTGATATTTAATTATGAATCACACATTTCTTTACAAATGATACATTTAGCAGTATGAAATGGATAGTTTTTAAACTATCTTGTATATAAGAAGAAATACTGAGGTATCTAGAGATTATCTTTTTTTATTTTCATTTGTAATTGGGGAAAGGTGATTTATTTAGGTACATGGAATGCAGATTTTAGTGGAAATGACAGCTAGAAATAATCAGTTAATGACATTGTTTTATAGATTAGGTAGGATAGGCTGTGTTTTTCCATTCTGGAAATGTTTATTACGGACATTTGAGTCTTTTACATTTAGGTTCTTGGATAGGTGCAAAAGGCTTTTATTTCATTAACTCTTTATGTGCCGATGTCCACTTGAGATGAGGAATTTCTTGAGAATTCAAGTGTTTGTTTCTTGAATCTTGGAACATGGTTGCCTTGACATAGGTACAAGTCCTCTGACTAATTTCACTAGGTGTTACATGTTGTGTGAGAGAGATGGGAAATGCTAAGTAAATGCTCAACTATCGTGTTTTTGTTTTGCCTTCTGTTTGTGATTTCATGTCACTTTGTGTCTCAATCATTATATTCCAACCATTCTGGCTCTTTCTGATTTTTAAACATTCCATATATTCCCACTTCAGCAGCCTGTGCTTGCTGTTCCTCTGCCTGAAATATTTTTACCCCACTTTGTATGGTTTGCTCCTTCTCATCACTCATATCTTAGTTCAAATATTAACTCCTCTATATGCTTTCCCTACCTTTCCAGATCACTTCTATCTTATTACTATGCTTTGATTTTCTCATAGAACTTATTACTATCTGATTTTTATTCTGTTTGTTTTTATAATTATTGACTGTCTTCCTCCCCTAGAATGTTAGGTGTATGAGAACATGTGATATTGTCTAATACTTACTATATGCTTATTCAGTACATAGAATGGCTCCAAATTTGTTGAATAAATAAATCTGAAATAAATCTGTTTTCTTAATAAAAACAATACATTTTAATATAATTTGTAAAGTTACTCAGAAAATAGAATTCAGAAGACCTTAAAATTTTTTAATTTTATTAATTTTGAATTTATGTATTATATTTTAAAACATGGCTATTATGAAAGATAGTATTTGTATTAATTTCAAATACGTAAAAACTTTATAATTATATGGAAAATTAAATTGGGAAGAATGAAAAGAGTTGATATGTTAGTTAATGGATTTTTCAAACTTAAAAAATTCCTGTTATGATATTTATATGCTAAAATTAAGTTATGACAATTTTCATATGAGCATTAACAGAGCTAATTTTAAAATCACCTCAATTTATGAATTCGATTATCATGCAATTTAACTTTTGACAAGAAATTAAATTGCTAAGCTAAAAGTATAATACTAGCATGATAAAAATTCAAGTTTTATTAGGCTTTTACACCTTGTGTAAATATACCAAACTGTTAACAGGTACTGTATTTCATCTGTCACATGGACTACAGAGGTAAGTAATTTCTAAACAAGAGAATTAATTAACTAAAAAGAATAATGTTCAATACTTAGGTGTCTCTTTTTTTCCCTAGGTTTCCTTTACCTCATCATCCTGCCGCACCTCCAGAGCATCTTAAAGAACCTTTGGTGTACATGAGGAAAGCACAGGTTGGCAACTGTACATTTTTTATTTTATTTTTCTATGCCAAGTTATATAATGCAAGTTAGATATCAGAGTATAGATCACTCAGTACATGAAAGACTGGGTAAGAACTGCTACTCAAGTGCTGTGAAAATTTTTTGCATATTCTTCCTTCTTACTTTCAGTAACCAAGGATCACACCTATTTAATTTTAGTAATCCTGAAAATGTTGAAAGGAAGAAAAATTATGCACATACTGGCCTGAAATTTAAAATATAATGAAAGTATTATGCAACAGTTTATTTCTCATGCTCTGTAATATTAAAGGAATGAGATGGGAATAAACTGACTCACTCTTCCCTTAATGTTTTGGTTTTTGAAGCCAGTGTTATGGTTACTGTATTGAAATACATTTGTTCTTACAATAAGCTGGTACATACTAATTGTTACAAAACTTAGATGAACTTGCTATCTAAAATCGACTAAAAAAAATCATTTGAAGTTTAAAACAGAAAACTTCAAAAGCTGTTAAAATAGAAACTTAGTAAGTTGTGTTATGTGCTTCCAACCCTAAATTGTCCTTTGTCTTGGTGCAGCCTGGTCCACCTGCCCTGGAGGTAGCCCTTCTGAGAGCCTTACTCAGAGTGCTGGGTAGGACTCTGACTGCCACTGCTGAAGCATTTAATGGAGATCACAGAGTCGACCTTCTTCCTTCTTCATAGTCACTGAAATTTGAAAAGTTCAAATATACCCAAGTTCATGAACCCTTTATCCAACTTCAACAATTGTCAAACTAGTTCTGCTGCCTCTGAGAAATGTTGTGCTGCTTTGAGTTACCACATTCCACAGCAGTGGATATTAGGCAGATTTTTATTCTTCAACTTTGTTTTCATTTATAAAATTCTCAAAATTAGATAGTGAAAGGAAGCAATAAACACAAAAAACATGGAGATATTTGAGGAAATATGTAACATATTTGTATCTGTAGGTGGTAGTTTTAGGGCCAGCAATCAGATAATATTTATTTATTGTCAGTATATCATAAAGCATAATTGTTAAATATGATACATATATAAAAGAATTGTTTAATCTTTTGGTGTACAGATATGCACTCAAAAAATAAAAATAAAAGGTGAATCTAAATATTTTTGATGAACTTTGAAAATCTTCAAAAGGTTTTGAGAAGGTATCAGTTTTAGCATATTAGGTATAAGAAAACACAAAAGTTGGTTTCCCATCATAACTGAGAAGAGAAATAGCGAGGTAAATAATAGGTCTGTTCTTAAAGCCTGCTACTAGCAGCTGAGAAAAATGTATGAATGGCAAGTGTATATATTGTGTATATGTATGATACTCTTCTCTTTTTTTTTCTAGTCTTACCCACTAAATCAGGTGTTGACACACTGCAGCCCATGGGCCAAATTTGCTCTGCTACCTATTTTTATATGGTTGACAATCTAATATTTTTTTATATTTTCAATTTGTTGAAAAATAAAAAGAGTATCTTGTGACCTATGAAAATTATGGGAATTAATAAAATATACTTGATTGGAAAATAGTATTTCTTATTAATTTACATATTGTCTATGGGTGCTTTTGTACTACAGGTCAGAGTTAGGTAGTTGCAGTAGAGATCTTATGACCCACAAAGTCTAAGGTATTTACTGCTTGCCCTTTTGTAGGAAGTTTGCTAATTACTGCACAAAATTATTAATTCTTTAACAGTAGAGACTGTTGTGTTTTTTTTTGTCCTCAGCATCCAACACAGTGTCTAGACCAAAGAACAATCTCAGTATTGTTGAAATAATTGATTTTTTTAACACCATGGTCACACTAAATATCTCCTATTAGGTTGTATCTACTTATCTTCCTATATTTGCTTTCCTTGAGTCATTTAGTTCTTTAGCTCCCTGTTGTTCTGGGCAGTTCTCTCCTCTTAGAATGAAAGCTGCCAAATCTGGATTGCCTAACTACCATTTCGTCATGTTCTCTCCTGTACTTCACAATCTCCTGCCGTATTAGGCTTCTATTTTGTCTGCCATTCCAGTCCTCTGCCTAAGGCAACCTCTACCATTTACTTTCTCACTTCTCCCAAACTATTGTATACTTTCTAGGAAAATCACAAAAGTTTAATGTTTACCATTAGTATAGTCTAAGTCCACTTCTTTATCTTAATGGGTTCATTTTGCAACCTGTCAATCCTTTTATTATCCTGCTTTCCACTTAGGTTTTCCCAAAGTTTTTCCATGCTTGTGCAGTCCCCAGTTTCCCCTCCATCTCACTCATTTTAACATTTGTCATTTATTTTATTAAGAATATTCAGGTCATCTCATTCAAGCTTCCACAGCTTTCCTCTTCTTTGCTGCTACATCTTTTTTGGCCCTAGTCCTCTGTGATCAACAATTTACTGTATATTCTGAGGTTATTATGTTATTTCTAAAATGATTGTCTCTTCTGATCTTCCTATTTCTGTTTACTGGTTTCCATTGTTATGATAGTAATTTAGACTTGAAATATCTTTGATCTCAGTTTTCCATATCCAGATAGTCATTAAGGTGTATAAATTATTTCTTCTCATAGTTTTATAGCCTTCTCTTCCTTCTTATTATCAAGACCATTACCATAGTGACCACCATGATAAAGATGATAATAATGACTATCTTTTCCTTAGTGCTTACTTTGTTTCAGAGATTAAATCACATATTTGCCTTATTCTTAACACCTCCCAATCTTTCTCTCCATCTTCTTAGTAACTATCAATACAATTAACTTTAACTACAAGCAGATGAACCCTTATAATGTATCTCACTGCCTTCTAACACAGTGACTCCCAATTGCCTAACAAAGTAAGTTCCTATTCCAAAACCCAACAATTAAAAATTTTTACTATTTGTCCCCAGCTTCTCTTCCACTTTATCAGTCTCTGCTGTCTTATAACTGTTCCATGTGCCCTTTCAAGTAAATCATTTTGCTTTTCCCTTTTGCATCTTTAGCACTTATTTTGTTTTCTTGTCATGGAAAACATACCTGCTTTCATAATGGTATGAAAATCCCATCCACTTTGTGAGGGTCGGCTCACAGAACATCTCTTCTCTGATGTTATTAGCCCTGTTGAAAAGATCTCCCTCTCTCTTGAACTCCTGTAGCACACTATCATGTTATGGCCCTGTCTCACCTGAGGGGGATTGCCCCTGGGCAAGTTTACTCTGGATTTGGTGAGCCCTAATAACAACAGCTGAACATTAGGGGTAAAAGGGTACCAAGCTTTCTTCTCACTGTGGCAGGTCAAGTGCTAGAGTCACTCTGCCTCTGGGTTGTTCACAATCTGTCTCTGTCTCTGCCTCCAGACAGAGCACTGAGGGAAGCTCTTTATATAGTAACACCAACAATAGTGGCTCATCGCCAACGGGTGTGTAAGCTTTAGCCTACTCAATAGGCCAATTATATCATCAAACTGTTTAAGGTCAGGTGAGGATCTGGCCATAGGAAATTTCATTATCCTACAGGCCCTTATCACAAATAGCATGCAATTTTAATAATTTCTGTATGCATCTTCCTGACTTTTGTTATAAGCCTCTTGAAAGCAGTAACAATTTTTTTATTAAAGTATCATTAATACACAATCTTATGATGGTTTTAAATATACAACCCAATGGTCCAACTTTCACCCATATTATCAAGTCCTTCCTCACTCTATAGTGGGCATAATCAACGTAGTAAGATGTTATAGAGTCATTAATTCTATTCTCCATGCTGTACTACCATCCCCGTGATCTACCTATATTGTGACTGTGAATTATTGTGCCTCTTAATTCCATTCTCCCTTCCCTGCTATCCTCCCCAACCCCTTCTCTTTGGTAACCACTAGTCCCTTCTTGATGTCCGTGTGTCTACTGCTCTTTTGTTCCTTCTGTTTTGCTTTGCTTTTATACTCCACATACGAGTGAAATCATTTGGTATTTGTCTTTCTCTGCCTGGCTTATTTCACTGAGCCTAATACCCTCTAGATCCATCCATGTTGTTGCAAATGGCAGGATTTCTTTTCTTTTTATGGCTGAATAATATCCCACTGTGTATATGTACCGTATCTTTTTAATCCATTCATCTAATGATGGACATTTAGGTTGCTTCCATATCTTGGCTATTGTAAATAATGCAGCAGTTAACATAGGGGTCCATGTCTTTTTGAATCAGGGATCTTGTTTTGTTTGGGTAAATTACTAGGAGTGGAATTCCTGGGTATTTCTATTTTTAGTTTTTTGAGGAAGTTCTGTATTGCTTTCCTTAGTGACTGCATCAATTTCCATTCCCACCAACAGTGTAAGAGGGTTACTCTTTCTCCACATCCTCCCCAGATTTGTTTCTTATCTTTTGGATGTTGGCCATCCTAGCTGGTGTGAGGTGATAAGTTGTTGTGGTTTTAATTTGCATTTTGCTGATGATGAGTGAATTGGAACATCTTTTCATGTGCCTGTTAGCCATCTGTATTTCTTCTTTGGAGAAATCTCTGTTTAGGTCCTCTGCCCATTTTTAATCAGCTTATTTGTTTTTTTGGTGTTGAGGCATATGAGTTCTTTATATATTTTGGGTGTTAACCCCTTACCAGATAAATCATTTCCAAATATGTTATCCTAAACTATAAGAAGCCTTTTTGTTCTGCTGATGGTGTCCTTTGCTGTACAGAAGCTTTTTAGTTTCATGTATTCCCACTTGTTGATTTTTTATTTTGTTTCCCTTGCCTGAGGAGATTTGTTAAGGAAAAAATTGCTTATGTTTATATTCAATAGATTTTTGCCTATGTTTTCTCCTCAGAGTTTTATGGTTTCATGTCTAACATTCAGGTCTTTGATCCATTTCGAGTTTACTTTTGTCTATGGAGTGAGGCAATAATCCAGTTTCATTCTCTTACATGTACTTGTCTAGTTTTCCCAGCACCAGTTGTTGAAGAAGCTGTCATTTCCCTATTGTATGTCCATGGCTCCTTTATCATATATTAATTGGCCATACATGTATGGGTTTATATCTG